TCGAGGGGCCTGCCTGAGTGTTGATAATATTGTTCAATTCATTGTTGTGGTCTCAATATTTATATCAAAGGTGTTTTAGAACCATAAGATTTTACTCATAGGTGGAATATAAAACAAAAAGAAACAAATAAACAAACAAAACAAAACAAACTCAAAAATACAACAAATTGAAGGTTAGCAGAGGGGAAGGGAAGTGGGGAGAGGGCGAAATGGGTAAAGGGGTCAAATGTATGGTGATGGATGGAAACTAGACTTTGGGTGGTGAGCATTCCATAGTGTATACAGATAGCAAATTATAATGTACACCTGAAATTCATATAATGTTATTAACCAGTGTTACCTCCACAAAAAAATTAAATAAAAACCGCAATGTCTGCTAAGCACAATTCAGTAACACAAAGTGTGCCTGTTTACACACTATTTTTTCCAACCTGGCCCCTGACCTTTGTTTTAGTCTTAGCTTTACAATTAAATATAATCAATGCAAAAAAAAAAGACATTTTGAGATTCTAAAACTGGAAAACATATCTCAGAGCACCTTAGACCTTAATTAAGAACCACCACAACTTCCATATAATACGGAGATTCGGTGGGATATGTGTATCTACCATCCATCCTCTTTTCTGAATGATCCTTCTAGAAATGTTCCTCTGACAAGGCACTTACTATATCCCACTATGCAATGTGCACGCCATCAACTGTCCACCTTCCATGAAAAGTCCATAATGGGTAACATTCTTCCTTTTAAATATGGGCAGGCATCCTTTCCTACCTGTTATATACTTAGACTTGTTCATTGTATACTTGTCACCTGATTCTATTCTAGGAATTGAATGTGAGAAGCGATACCTTCTCCCAGTCTTCACAGCTAGGCAACCAAGCAGCATAAACATGACAAACAATCCAGACAGAACACCCACAGCTCACTTTAAAATGTACACGGTCACAGCTGCCTTTGAAGACCAGCCCCTAAACGTCTCTAACCAGTGATGGAGAGCCAGGCCCTGTTCTTGCTCATTGACCTTGGCTGATGCATCCTGGAAGTGGAACACGTTGGCATGCTCTTATCTTAGGCCAGGTTGCTAAAGACGTGTAGTTCCCTTGTTACAGCTGGTGTCCTTCGGAAAAGGATTGAAATCTCCTTTAATAGTTTATCAAACTTAGACTTCAAATTACAGAGGAACATGCAAGTGTAGTTCCAGCTTTGTCAGCTGGTAAGTCTTAGTTTGTCCTCATGGACTAAGTCCATATCCCATCTATTACAATGGCTTGCCATAAGTGTGATTTATTCAACAAACATGTATTACACTTTTTATACTTCAGACACAATCGCTGGTGCCATGAATACAAAAATGTAAACTGATTCATTCAATCAAACAGCATGTTTTTACTGAGTGCCTACTAAGTGCTATGAAATGGGGATGCATATATGAATATGACAGACAAGACCCCACACACACACCCTCAAGAAGCTTATGTTATAGGGGGAGCCTAGGTGAGTCAGCAAACAAATAAAATAATTACACACTGTGATAAAAAATGAAATAAATAAATTGTTGAGGGCCGGCCGAGTAGCGCGTTGGTTAAGAGCTGGCTTGGGACGCCAGAGGGCCCCAGTTCGGATCCCACATATGAGGGCCAGTGACACT